GAAGCAGCTGGTTCCTGCCGGGAGGAGCCAGGATCAACACGGCCGGGAATAGCCCGTGAGCTCATTGCCACGTCCCGCGGGAGCCTCCAGCACCCTCGAGTGGGCAGGGGTGCCCGGCCCCGGGACCCCCTCGCAGGGCGTCCTCCTCCTGGTCCAGTGCCCTGACTGGGCTCGAGGCACACGCTGGGGCCTCTCCCAAGGGTGGGTGGTCCCTGGCCCAGCCTGGGGGCCGTGGAAATCACTGGGGAAGGGCATGGCTGGGGCCAGCAATGGAGTCTGTGACTCATTTGTGTCTCGACGTTTCAGAGCTCAATTACTCAAGTGTGAGGCCAGGAGCACCCCTTAAGCCCTACAAGGCAGGGGTGCAGGGCAGAAGGGTGCTGGGTCCCCGTCTCACCTCTGCCTCTGCCCCTCGGGGCAGGAAGAAGAGGGCAGTGGGGAGGCATCACGGGGGCTTTCCCACACCTGGGACATGCCAGCCTCAACCAACAGCAGCGGAGTCACTGTGTTCTGCTGCTCAGTGTGACCATGACAAGCTGGGGGTGTCCCTTCGTGCTGCCATCCCCCTCCAGCCCAGCCTTTGGATGCCAGCACCTGCCTCCCTGGGCAGCCAGCAATGGCAGCAGCTAAAATTACCCCGCCAGCAGCAGGGTAGCCCCGTGCACGGGAAGCTGTGGGCAGTGGGGCAGGCATGTGGGGCTATTCTCAGAGGGCTGCGGGACTATTCTTGGCCAGTCAATATTGATTCAACCATCTCAGGTGCAACAGCTCAGCCTGGCTACACCGTATTTAGGGCCTGGCAGGAGGCGAGGTGGGTGGCTGAATTGGGAGCATTGTCCAGGGGAGGAAGAGGGCAGGGAGAGGATGTGACCTCTGTAATCTGCAGCGAGCAGCAGCAGCCTGGGAGAGAAGCACACCCTGGGCCTGCTGCAGGCTGAGGGGTGGCCAGCAAGAGCCTCTGGGCTGCACCCAGCATCTGTCCTGGGGATTGAGGGACTGGGCCAGAATCTGTGCAGGCAGGAACTGGGGGGTGTGCAGGGCACAGGTGGGAAGCTGCAAGTCCTGACTCCTGCAGTCCTTGAGCTGCTGGGCACATGGCTGCTGTACACACAGCCACTAAGGGCTGGGGGGATAGAGGACAGTTTGGGGTCTCAAGGTAGCAAAGCAGGGCTCAAGTAGCCGCCTGGTTCCCTGCTTGTTCTGGGCACCTTGGCATGGTCCAGGCCATCAGTGAGTGGAGGAGGGGCCAAGGGTCTGGTTGTCCCTATTCACTGCTCTGGGACATGCTTGTCCCCTCTGGCAGCTCCCCTGGGGTTGCATGGACAGCCACAGAGCAGATGGCACAGTGCAGTCCCCCATGTCAGCACATTGGGAACTGCACAAAGAGCTGAAAAACCACCACGAAAGCGCTCAGGACAGAGCCTGGGCCAGGTTCTATTTCCATGGGTGTAGGCAGGGGCTGAGCAAGGCTCCCCATGGCCACCTGGGGCCCAGGAGCCACCACGGCAAGGCTGGGCTGTGGTGAGCTGGGAGCAGTCACTTGTTAATGGTGACAGTGGCAGCTGGGAGCACAAGGAACCCTGCCAGTTTGCAGCTCCCAGCTCTCAGGGGATGCTGCTGTCCTGTAGTGCCTGGGAAACAAGTTGGGGACAGACAGGGCTCTGTGTGGGGTCAACATGACTTGCTGTACCCACAACCCTGCATAGGTTGAGGTTGGTGTCATCACTGTCACCACAGGCGCCTAAAGTCCTCCAGGGCCACCTGGGCGGCATTGCGTCCTGCTGCTCCCATCACTCCTCCTCCTGCAACAGAGCAGAGACAGGGCCCACGGCTGCACCAGTGGAACCATCCCATGTCCCTGCTGGTATGAGGGCAGAGGGGAGCAGACACCCCTGCCTCCCTGTGCTGCCCTTGCACCTCTTCCATGCGCCCCTGCCCTCCTTCTGCAGCCCCCCAGGAGGGTCCCAGCTCCCAGCCCTACTCACCAGGGTGGGCTCCACTTCCACACATGTACAAGCCAGGAACTGGGGACCGGTAGCCTGAGTAGGATGGTGCCGGCCGGGCAAAGTACAGCTGGTCCAGAGACATCCCGGCATGGAAGATATTCTGCCAGCAGAGCCCTGTGTGAGCTGGCTGTGCCTGGCCCAGGGCTGTGTGCCCACCAGCACTGGCATCAGAGTGATGCTCTGAGCTGTGCCTATGTAGTACCCACCCCACCCGGCAGCCCAAAGATCCTTTCCAGGTCTGGTGGCGTCAGGATGTCCCTGCCGATGACAGATGCCTTGAACCCCGGGGCATAGGCTTCGATGCAGTCAAACACTACAGAGGGATGAAGGGACTGGTGAGCAGTTTGAGGGGACATGGTGGCTGCCCCCGAGCAGCATTAGGGCAACTGTGCCCTCGGGCAGGGACCAGCCTGGGTCTGCCTATGCATTATGTACCCATGTTCATGTATGCATTACGAACCTGTGTCTGCATATGCATTTCTGGCCTGCTCATCCCAGGGCCGCCCACCTGCCAGCACGAAGGGGGTGTACTGGGTGAAGAGAGACACGACGTGGCAGCCCTTTGGAGCCAGCCCTGGGTCCAGCACCGAGGGGATGCAGAGCTCGATCATGGGCCTGAGAGAGCAGGACACCAGTCAGGCAGGCAGATGGGGACACAGCCACCTCAAGCCTCTTTCCCCAGCACCACCTGCCATGGCTGTCCTGCCCCTTCCCCAGGGTACTGAGGGGTGCCGGTGCAGGCTCCTACCTGCTGGAGGGGTGCCCATGGGTGGCTTCAGTGAAGGCCTGATGCAGGAGATGGGTGTCCTCACAGTTGAGATGGATGGAGCACTGGTGGTGGGGCAGGGGCTGGCCACCGTGGGCATTGGGGGCAGCGAGGAAGTTGGGCAGCCGATCCACAGCCACTGGGCACAGGATGGGGGACAGAGGAAGCAGAGTGCAGGGTTTTGCTGAGCTGGTGCAGCCTGGTGTCAACTGTCCCTCCAGCAAGGACAGCAGTGACCCTGCCAGTACCTACCGTTGATCTTGGTGACAGGGGAGCGTGTGTCAACCTGCTTGATCCGCTGGACAAAATCCTTTGGCAGCTGCTCCTAGGTTGTGAAAGGCCAGAGCAGAGTCCAGCAATGAGGGGGGCAGCTAGGCCAGGGAACACCACCACACCAATCCACCACCAGCCCTGTGCACTCAGTACCTTGGGTGTGAGCTCCAGGAAGGTGATTTGGGGAGAGGCGTTGGACAGCACCAGCTTGCTCCTCACCTCTGTCCCATCCTGCAGCGCGACGCCCTGTGCCCGCCCGTCCTTGCCCAGCAGCACGTGGCTCACCGCCTGGGCAGATGGAGAGCACAGGACCTCACCAAGAGCATCCCTGGTGCTGCAGGCTGGTCAGGCAGCTCCCTGCACCCAGACATCCCATACCTTCTTGGCCAAGATGTGGGCTCCCTGGGCAGCTGCTGCACAGGCGATGGCTTGGGACAGGGCCCCCATCCCGCCAGCCACATAGCCCCAGGCCCCCCGCTGTCCCTCCAGCTGGCCCATCACATGGTGCAACAGCACATACCTACGGTTGCAGGACCCCAGGTTAGCTGCCAGCCAAGGGGATGGGTCTGACCCTGCATGGGCATAGTAAGAATGATGCCATGGTCCCCATAGATGGGACTGTGCCAGCTCATAGGATGCCAACACAGTTACATGGAGCACCCACTGGCCAGGACTTGACCTGACCTGGGGCCAGAGGTGTCCAAACAGCACAGGAGCAGGTAGAGACCACTCAGGAGAGCCATAAGGCAGGGATGGGGGGCAGCACCTTGACCAGCCCAATCCCTGAGCTACCCTGGCAAGGGTGAATGGGCAGCAGCAGAGAGAGGCAGCAAAGCAGGGCACAGGGTGCTGAGGCACAGCAGAGCTGAGAACCTGCCAGCACAGGGGGACAGTGCATCCATGTGCTGCCTGGGAAGGGACCCTCACCCACTGCCAGGGGTGTGGGGACTGGCCATGGCTCCAATCACGGCGTCAGTAGCCAAAGTTGCCTTCAAGGGCTCTGACTCAAACCACTGATCCAGGACCTGGCCCGGGAGAAAAGGAGAGTGCCAGTCTCAGGGTGGGGGGCTGCCATGGGACACTCGCAGGCAGACAGGTAGGCAGCTGGGGGCTCCATAACACTGCTGCCAGCACTCACCTTGGAGATGGGGGCTGTGAGCACCTCATAATAGCGGGGCAGCTTCTGCCCCAGCATCAGCCCTGCGGGTGGAAAGGTGGTGTGAGACCTGCATGGCTGTGCCTGGGCCAGCTGCCCATGTTTGGATGAGTTTGGGGGCCAGGTGGCAGCACCAAGGTGGGCAAACCTGTGAGAGCCTGCCAGCCCAGCTGGGGCTCCTGAGGAGCCCATGCCCTGGGAAGGAGCAGCTCTGCATTGCACACCCCAGGTGCAGGCAAGCATTCCTTGTCATTGAGGTCCAGCATCCTGATCATACCTGCTTGCAGCAGGGGTCGGAGGTCTCGCAGGGCCCTGAGTCGCTGGAGTAGGGACCCCTGCCCCAGGGCAGCTGTATCCACTGGGGAGGCATCCAGCAGCAGGTCGAGGGCTGACACCAAGCGCCCCATGAATGCCTCGTACTCAGGATAAGCCTGAAAGGGGACACAAGGGGGCCAACAGGGACTGTGCCATGGTGGGTGTAATGGATACTCCACCTAGGAGCGTCCCTGCTGCTCTGCTGGGCAGGGCAGCTCCTTGGAAGCTTTACTGTGCTGGGCACGTGACCCCATGGTACCTGGGCATCCTTTTGGGAGAACTGAGCAATCTGCTGCTGAGTCTGGGCCATGTTGTGCCCCAGCAGGAGGGAGCGTGGGAGGCTCCTGTCCTCCAGCAGCGGGGTGAAGGAGTAGGGGTCCCGCGGGAGCACCTTCAGGCCATGCTGCTGCAAGACATGGATGACAGAATCCACCCTGCGGAGACGGCTTGGCAGCAGGATCACCTTGCCAGCATGCCAGGAGATCCCAGCAGCCCAGCGAGGGACGGATGGCAGTACCTGCAGCTCTAGCTCAGTGTAGATCTGTGGCCGCAGCAGGCTGAGCAGGTAGGATGCCCGGGAGAACTTGAAGCCTGGAAGATGCAGGGTGGTGGGGGCGTGCCCACACCCAGGGGCAAGGGGACACAGGGCATGCAGGTGTACCTGGAATGATTTCCTCCGTGACGGCTGCTCCACCCAGCACATGGCGTTTCTCCAGCACAGCTGTGCGCACCCCTGCCTGCTGCAGGTAGGCAGCCTGTGGGGAACCTGCCATCATGCTGCCTGTCCCTCCAGGTGGGACATATCCTCGTCACCCCAAGCACCTTCTTACACATGGTGGCCCCCCACCCGGGAACGCCCTGCTCCCTACAGTCCTGCAGGAGCCCCCAACCACATGGGCACTGCCATCATCACCCTCCTACACCCACTGCACAGACCCTCCCCAGTTGCCCACTGTCCCCTGGGTATGGAGGAGAGACAGCACCCTGCTCTCAGTACTCACTGCCACCAGCCCGTTGTGCCCTGAAAGGAGAGAGGAAAGTGAGTCGAGTGTGGCGCTAAGGTGCTCCCATGGCACCAGGCACCCTGCCACACCTGGGGCTGCTACAACCACCTCAATTATGGGGTTTCTTGACATGGGTATATAGAGGACAGGGGACTACAGCGCTAACAGTGCAGGGGAGGGAGACAAGAGATGCTCAAGGCAGATGCCCCAGCTGTGCTCTGCAATGTGTGCCCAGCTGTGCCAGACCTCTGCATACTTCTTCACACAAACAGCATTTTGGTGGTCTGCAAACTGCTCAGCCTCACTGTGATCCCCACCTGGCCATTACCCCCTGCCTGCCCTGAGAGTGGGCAGCTAGGGGTCCCCACCACCTCCCCACAGCCCGGCACCAGCTCCCTCGCCCTGTTACCTGCCCCGATCACCACTGCGTCGTATTCCCGCTGCAGCCGCTCTGCAGCCCCAACATGGGCCAGCTGCACGCCCGGCAGCCCCAGGGATGGATGCCAGCCCCGCAGCCAGCGGGAAGAGCACACTATGCCCAGTCCTCCC